GAAATCATGGGTAGAAAGAAGCACAGTGCTCCTGGTGGCTAGGGAGGACATTCTCTTTCAGAAATCCAAAGAATCCAGCTCCAGATACAGCCCACACTTGCAAGACAATTGCATCGAACTGTGGCAGACATGCAAGAGTGCCTCATAGCTATGCTCCGAGGCACGTACAGAGAAGACAGAGATGCAAAGAACCTCGGATCAAAGAAGCTGCCAACCAGCAAGTACTATGAAAAGAAAGTAAAACCTTTCGTTTTTGTTTTGATTTTGAAATGGGTCTTATTATGTAGCACTGGCTGGACTGGAACTCAATACCTAGTCCAAGCCAACTTCAAACTCAACAGAGATTGGCCTGCCTCTACTTCCTGAAAGACAGTGTTTATAAAGACAAGATTAAAAATGCTAACACACCAAAGAACTTTTGTAAAATTGCTTATAAGACAAAAACAGGACTTTAAGCAATAGTGGTGGCCCATGTCTTTAATCCCAGCACTCGGGAGGACGAGGCTGATAGATCTCTGAGTTTGAGGCCAGCCAAGTCTACAAGAGATAATTCCAGGGCAGCCAGAACTACACAGAGAAACCCTGTCTCAAAAAAAAAAAAAAAAAAAAAAGATTAGAACTTTAGAATGTCCTATAATCAGAAAGGATGTCACTCACTGAGAAGCACACATGTGAGTAATGAACAATAGGCACTCACTAGAGTGACCTGAAGAACACACTGAGAATGGGTGTGACCTGGAAGGTGGAACATTAATCCCACCGACCCAAATCATCATCATGGCCAAATTAAAACAAGCTTTCTTATTCATGTACAGAGCTTTCTCCCCCTAAGGTGGGGTAAAAGGGATCAGCATTGGACATGGGAAAAATAAGAGATTTATGTTTGTTTATCTTTTTAGTTCAGGAGTAGGGGATTTCCAAATGGGGAATTTGGCAGGCAAGTAGAATTACAGAAGCAGAACAGAAGCAAAACAAGGTGGTTATAACAGCAAAGACACGACTGCAAGGTGGTCCTAACAGTGTGGTCGTAACGAGGTGATCGTAATAACTTTTTGAGACAAAGGCATGGCTGCCGTTTCCTGGAATAGGCTGGTACAGAACAATTTGTAGTTAAGGTAACAGATGGCTCATAGTCCAATCCTTGAGAAATAGAGATTTAATCATAAACATGAATGAACGTAGCTTGTTTTTACTGTAAAATGGCTTTTAAGCCTAAAATGGAGGCAGGCTGGCCCATCAGGTTTTCGCATCTTTTTAAAACACCTGATTTATCTAATAAAGAGCTGAGCAGCCAATAGATAGGCAGGAGAGGGATTGGCGGGGCTGGCAGGCAAAGTGAATTAGGAGGAGGAGTAATCCGGGCTCAGGAGAAGAGAGAACCAAAGAGAGAGGGAGACACCTGGGGTCAGCCGGCCAGCAGACTCCAGCCAAGCAAACAGGAAAAGCAGAACACGTGGAAGGGAAGAAAGGCAAAAGACCCTGAGGCAAAATGTAGATGAAGAAAAACAGGTTAAATTAAGTTATAAGAGCTAAAGATAAGGCCGAGCATTCATAGCTAATAATAAATCTCTGTGTCATGGTTTGGGAGCTGGTTGGGGCCCCCTGCCCAAAAAATCTACTATATAGAAAGGGCCCTGCAAAGACCAACCAGGATGTTTGTAAAATTAACACTTAGCTGTATTATGATGCGATACTAGACACTGTTGTGAGGATGATCCCCCCCCCCAAAAAAAAATCAAATGAGGAAAGAAAAGTCCTGAATGAAATCCCAAAGGTGTGAGAAGAATCATGGCGTCGAATTTCTCTGAAAAACAGAAAGTGCAAGAAGAAATGGGGGAAAAGTGCAATGTTTAGAGAAACATCTTATTAACTGTGAAAATAAAAGACTTCTTCAGATGCTTCTCGCCTCCAGAACCACTCTGAAGCAAACAAAGGGGACAGCAGCAGAAGAAAATGAGCCCGAGACACCGAATGAGGGGTGAAGAGCAACAGGAGAAAAACTGGTAACTCTGTTCAAACGTAAGCATAGCACAGACTTGCAGGAGAGAGGCAGGAAAGCCAGGGAGGAAAAGGAAGAAAGGGAACATAGCTGGACAATGACTTTTCAGGTTAAAGGTTCAAACTGTCAGGAGGTGGTGGCCACACCTTTAATCCCCAAGGCTAGCAGATCACTGTGAGGTTGAGGCCAGCCTGGAGTTCCAGGACAGCCAGAGATACACAGAGAAACCCTGTCTCGAAAAAAAAAAAAGGGGAGGGCATGGTTAGCTGGGTTCAGGATGTCTTTCCTCTTCAGTGGTCACAAACACTTTTGTCTCTTAAGGAAGTAGGAGATGGACAGAGGGAGGGATACACAGACTGAACTGGAGTGCAAATCTGGCCTCTCCCACTTCCCAGGGATATAACTTGGCTGCATTTAATCACTTATCCCTAGGTGTAGAGTGGGTACATCATCAGTGCCTGCTGTGCAAAGTTGTTCTGAGCCTGTAGCTGTCCCGTACCAAGCATGTGTGCTGTGTGCAGCTGGTGTGTGGATAATAAAGTTAGCAAGAGGATTTTATTTCTTGGGGTGAGGAGCTGTGATTTCTTAAGGAAAAAAAAAAGATAACAGGAAGCTATAAAACAAAGCCAAAGAAAGCTCAAGAGAGCCGGTGAGATGGTTCACGGGGTAAAGGTGCCTGCTGCCAAGTCCGACAACCTGAGTTCAATCCCTGGAACCCACATGGTGCAAGGAGAAAACCCACTCCAAGGTGTCCTCTGACATGCACGTGCACGTGGACACGCACACACACATACACACAAAACACAATGAAATAACAGGGATTGGACTGGAAATGTCTCCGAGTGGGACACAACGTCCAGCATGTGAAAAGTTCCAGCACCACATCAGATAAACAACAGAAATTACTCTCTCACGGTTCCGGAGGCTGGAAAGTTCAAGTCTGTGGCCCTGACTTTCATAACCCAGTGAGGGGCGCAGTCTCTTGCACAGAGGGTGCCTTGGTACAGAATCTTCACACGGTTGAAGGAAGTTTCTAAACTTGCTCCCTTGCACGCTGTTGTGGGTGTACTAATAGCTTCCATGAGGACTCTGCCTAACCTAACCCAGGATGGGCCTCCATAACCATAACATTTGCCACTGTGGAAGATGGTTTGTTTACTGTTCTCTCTGCTTTCCTTGCTTTGTCTTGGACATGTAAAAACTTTTACTTATAATAGCCACCTGCCAGCTGGCCTAGTGGAGGGTTCTGTAGCCCTGAGTGGAGTGTCCCCAGTCCTCAGAGCTCTTCCATTTCCACGTGACAGGAGCTGTCTGGACATACAGGACCTAGAGGTCCCAGAAGGGAGAATAAGGGTCTTAGAAGATTAAAGTTCCCAGGGAAAGGCCTTGGTGTTGGGCCAGGGAGGCCTGGCCAGGCAGGGAGCAAGAGAATGCAGACAGCCTTGAGAAAAAAAAAACAAACAGATCCCACTGGCTGAATCTATGTTGTGCAGTCCCCTGGATTGGGACCATGGAACCCTGAGCACAAAGCAGTTCTAACGCTGGTGGAGATGAAGGCACTGACAAAGAGTAGCCCTGTCCACTCTACGCCTTCAGAGAAGTAGCAGCCCCTGGGGTGGGCGAACTAAGCCTAGGGCTTCTGCGGGGAGCCTGCACTGGGGGCCCTGTGCAGCCAGGAACAGAAACTCCTTCAGGGTCATTCAGACTGGGGGCGAGGTGTTGATTTGACTCTGACTTCTGGGATTCTTTCCCTTCTGTACCCTTAGCTGGAGCAGGCACTTACCCACCCTCAGCGGAGCTGCTAGAAGGGAGCCTTTGACAAGCCAGGGGGAGGCTCCGCCAGCACAGAAACACTCTGGAGTCCTCCAGTCAGGATCTGAAAGCGCTGATAGATTGAACATCCCAGCCCACCCTTACACACATACCACACTGTGATAGGGCTGATCATCTGGGAGCTGGTACCCTGGAATAATCCAGAGGAGGAAGTTCCTAATGCTCCATTTTGGAGGCCAAATGGATTGATAGGAAACAAAGGAGAAAAGCTCAGTTTGATACCATGCCCCTCTTTCTTCAGTGTGCACACTAAGTGTGTGTGGACCAGTTCACCAAGGAGCACAGTTTCCCAACCGAGGGTTATGTTCCATTTTTCTGATGTTATTTACTAGGTTAAGTGTTGTGTAACGATATAGAGGAAGCATCAAGGGACCCAGGGATCTTAGGAGCCTGAGTCCCAGGTCAGGGGACCTCCTGGAGTTTATCTCAAGAGGCAATGATGATAGCCAAGTATGGTGGCTCTGCCTGTAATCCCTAGCACTTTGGGAAGCTGAGGCAACATGACTGCCTTCAGCTCAAGACCATCTTGGGCTATAGGATGAGCTCTTGTCTCAAAAAAGGGGCTGGAAGACAGGTTCGAAAACAGATTCCTAGCAATCCCGTGACCCTCAGTCAATTGAAATTCTTGAAACTCCATTCTGGACAACTGACTTCAATGTGACACTTCTCTCCACGAGAGTTTCTCCCTGACACTGCCAATTTACATGTTTGCCCCTTTCTTCCCACCAAAGCTCCCAAGAGGCGACCCTCTCTGGACAATTGTCCCAGTGGAGCAGCCGTGGTCACAGTTTCTGCCTAGGCGATGAATCCCCGACCTTGAGTTATACACCAGTGAGCGAGGGAGAACAGCTGCTATCATAGCCATAGTGGGGGCTGTGATAGCCTTGGATGAAGCCCCGGTGATGGTGACAGTTTCTTTTAGGTGTGGCAAGACCCGCTCACTGTGTGACAGACATATCAAGCTTATTTTGTAAAAGGACAATTTTGTCCCTAGAGTGGGTGTAAAAGAGCTCCAGGATACAACAAATTCACACCTAATTTTACCTTCTGAGACGATAGATCCCTCAAATCCAAATGTAGCTGAGTAACCCAAAATCCCACACTGCTATTCTGACTCCAGAGGTCCTCAACCCCATATCAAACAAGCCTGAGAATGCATGCAAAGTCACACACACACACACTTCTTTATTGTTACCCAGGGGATTGGGGTGGAATAGGGTATGGAGCCCTCAGATGGAAACATGTAGGGAAGATGTGGAAACTTTCTATTTTCCATACCCTGCTTTCCTCCTAGCTGATGATGGTGGGATGCTGGTGGCTATCAGCTGTGGAGTGAGGAAACAAGATGCTTTTACATACAAGCACAGTGTTGTGTAATAAGGTTGGGTACCATCTCATACTTGAAAGAGTAACCTCCATCTGAGGTGGTTCGGACACGTAGGGATCTCATGCTCCCTGGTAGAGCAGCACAACAGGGCTTGGCCCCTGGCACCAAAAACAAGGGCTGAGCAGAGGTAGGGGGAACCCCAGGGGCTGGTAGGGGCAGGTCAGATGTGGGCACCCCACAGCTACCATGGCAGTAGTGGAAGATGAAACTGGGAGGATGCACGATCCAGCGGTCCCAGCCCAGCTCCTGGAAGGAGATGTTGAGTGCAGCTCGATGGCAATAGGCATGGGCAGCGGCTTCCTCTGAAGGCCTCTGCAGCAGCTGCAAAGCGGCAGGAGACCAAGGCCGAGGCATGGAGGGGGCTGAACGTCGGGCCCTCTCCCCCGCGCTGGGTGGTCTAGCCCGGGTGTGAGCCACCAGGAAAGGCGTGGTCTCTGGCCGGGCTGAGCAGGAACAGAGAGGGCATCGAAGCATCAATGCTAGAACCGGGTGGGTCAGCAGAGGGAGAGCGGAGGCTGCCAGGTGCAGTACTGCCCAGCGAGGAGGACTCTGTCCCAAGGACACAGGCACAGCCATGGGCCCCCCAGGTGACAACACCAGCAGGTCTAGCAGGGTCCCGGAACTGTTGGAGGCCACTGTGTTCTTCCTGTCTAGCCCGGTGTGGAACCAGAGCTGGGCTGAAGTCACCTGGTGGCTGCGCACGTGTTGGGATGGCCGGAATACATAAGTGAAGAGACCTTCTCCAGCCTCCTGGGCAAACTCTCCAGCAGCTGGGTGGTCCTCACAGGTGGCACCTGCAGGGGACGGAGGGGTAAAGAGAGGGCAACCTTGACCTGTAGGACTGGAAACACCTCCACCTCCATGAGAAGAATGAGGCTATCCCTCAGTGCCAATTGTGTGTCAAACGCTGCTGAGTGTCTAGACCCAGACACTCTCTGGAGTCTTGGGAAACTGGCAGAGGCTCCCCAATTTTCTATTCATCATCAAAACAAGACATTGGCAATCTCTCTCCTAGGAAGTTTACCAATTATTATAAACATCCATATGTAAGAGCCCTTGTTGCTCTACTTCACCCTCAGATCCACTGAAAAGGCATATGTTAGTGTTCACCAGATTAACATAGTGATTATCTTGTGTGTATGGATGTGTGCTTATGTTGCTTTTGATATCTCCTGGCATGTCAAAAATCTTATATGACAAATTCCCTAAAATAATTATATTTTTAAAGACAGTTTACAGAGTTGGGAGATCCTTAGCAAGTGAGCTAAGACACTTGCTGCCTGAGCATCAGGACCTGAGTTCAATCCCTGGCACCCACGTAGGAAGCTGAACCCCTGTGGTCTCTATCAGTAAGGAGGAGGTAGAGACTTGGCGCTTGTTGGCCAGTCAGTCTCATCCGTGAGCTCCGTTCGGTGAAGGGCTGTCTCAAAAACTGAGGCGGAACGTGACGGAGGAAGACATCCAGGGCCAAACTCTGGTCTTCACACACATATGCGTGCGGATGCATAATCAAATAGAAGAACAACAAAAGAAAGTGGAGGAGGAGCGGGGAGGGAAAAGAGAAAGAAGGAGAATAGAATGGAAGAAAGACAGTCCTTCCCAGGGAAGTGCAGCTGGCATTCCTGCCCCAAAATACACGCAGGCTACAGTCAATATTATGGGCCAACTGTCATCAAAAGACTGACAGCCGGGCTGCACTAGCGCGTAGCTTCTCATTATGAATTCTAACAATTGTTTCAATTTTCAGACAAGACACTGAGGCTGGAGCCATGATGTGACTGGCAGTCAGCTATTACGCGGCCAAGCTGGGATTCCACTTGATCTGAAATCCTAACTTTTCCCTAGTCTGCTGTCAGGGGCCAAAGGGAGAGAAGCAAAGGGACCTCTGTAAAAGAACAGTGGGCCAGATGAGAAGGGAGCCCAGTGGGAGGACTTTACTCTTCTAGTCATAGGGATAAGGGAAACACACACAGGGATGAGAGACTCCCCGGAACACGGCTAAGCATTCTGCTGCTCCCGAGACCCCTCTCGAGTCCCAACTGCCTGCAGCTAATGAAACAGGTTGTGTGTGTGTGTGTGTGTGTGTGAGAGAGAGAGAGAGAGGGGGGGGGCAGAAAGTAGACAGGGGCCTGAGCTCTGTCTCCATAGAGCCTTATCTTCCCTTTCATATTCCAGTTGAGCCAGGCCCACTGGGTCTCTCCAGCCTGAGTAGAGACCACCGCCCATTTGATGATGACCAGGGAAGCTTAGGAACTGTCCCCTTGCTGCAAAGCCAGCTGAGTGCTGGGGCTGCCATTCACACCCAAATCTGCCTGGCTCCCAGGCCCATGAGATGGATACCAGCTACTTTCCAAAATTGATCTGCTAGTCCGCAGCGTCATTACCTGTGGCTGGGAAAAGGATGGCCTGAGAGACATCCTCCTCCTCTGGTTCAGAGGTCCTGTGCTCGAAGCTCCCAAGGGCATGTCTTCGTGGCAGCCGCCTTATTTCAGGGCTCCCACCTTCCCCAGTCATTGCTGGGGGCCCCAAGGCATCTAGGATCAGAGCCTTCACCTTGGCCAGGACAAGTTCCCACACCAGTTCTGGGCCCTGACAGCTGTCCCCATCCTGTAGGGTCAACAGCAAAAGGAGCAGCAGAGACGGCCCGATCACCATTGTTCACCTGGCACTGACAACAGGGATCCCACGCCCTGCCCCGTGTCCCTTCTGTTCAGGACCTCCCCACTCTCCCCTCCCCATCCCACTGCCTGCCTTCTTCTACCCTTCTCACCCCAGTCTCCCCCAGTCCTTCCCACGCCCTACAATCCCAGTTGCCCCTGCCCATGGCATTGAGACCTCCTATCTCTGACGCAGATGTCTGTGGCCCTGAGCCTTATCTCCCACTCCCGCCAAGAATGTGAGGGAAGGGGCTGTGGAGGGTGTTCACCCCAAGTGACCTGACCCATTCATGCAAGCATACAACCTCTCTCTCTCTCTGTCTCTGTGTCTGTCTGTCTGTCTGTCTGTCTGTCTGTCTCTCTCTCTCTCTCTCTCTCTCTCTCTCTCTCTCTC